AAAACAGAGTTTTCTTGGGGAAGCTTCCACCGAAATCAAAGATTTTCTAAACTCATACAGGCACGAGGAGTCTTTGTGCTGACAGTCTTATACTGCCCATGCCTATTCTGATGTTAAGAAAAGTGTAGTTGGTATAGTTTCTCTGTGTGCCACATATCCACATTTATGGAGGAATTCACAATTTGACAACACTGCCATTCAGGATGTATAGAAAAATCCTCAGAAATACAATAATATACAAGAGCAGTGTAAGTAGTAATTTATAGTCAGTAATTTTGTCTTTTTTTCTGTGAAACATGATTTTAAAGAATGGCTTTATTAAGATTCAAAATACACAGTATTGGATCATATTACAAAGTCTTAGCTGGAGAAAACAGTAGCTTTCAAATAAGGCCGGGGCAGAGCTGTGTGTGACATCCTCATGGGTAAGTGGAGGGATCCGTGTTTCCCCAGACCTGCATTTGAAGTCAGCAAACTGCTGAATCAGTTTCTAGATATTTTTCTTTAACTGGAGAGCTGGATGAAATCACTCTATGCCCAAAGTCTCTGGGAAAAAATAATTGTGTGCTACCCCAGCCTGGCAGAGGAGGTTGAAGTGACCAATGCCCACATACTTTAATTCACTAAGGTCATTCCTTTGTGCTTATTTCCTCTTTTTGGTCTGAAACTTCATTTCCCTTTCACAGCTGTGAATTCTCTGGTGGGCCCTGGAGATGGATTTGATAAATGCTGCTAATATCACCTTCTGATCTACCAATGCTCTGACTTTGGTGTGTAGGTCTTGATGAGTAATTGCTGTTGTTCTACTCCAATGACTGAATTAAGTTGCCCTGTTTAAAAGGGTTCGTACGTGTGTGATTTTAGCCAAGGTGGCCTGTTGCAGCACACCAGTGGACACTGACCTTTCAAGAGTGCCTCATTACTGAAAATGAAGCGAGCAAAATTCCCTTGATTGCTCCAGCTGGCTAAGCTCTGTTATAATCCTTTGATTTTAAATTTTAAACTACATTTGATTATGTTGCTTAGCATCAAGCTACATAATTCTGAAATTTAGTATTCCAGATAACCATCATCTTTGCCCAAAGTGCCTACTGTTTCACCACATAGAGCCCCATGAGCTATAGGGACAGTGACCTGATGCCCACCCATCCAGCCCTGCTCAGCCTTATCTTACAGAGCAGGGTCCAGGTTCTGCAGGCAGTGCCTGTGCAGGGCTACATGCCCTGGTCTCATGCATTGCCCCCTTCTTCACCCTGGCACAGGAATGCACTTGTACATCATAGCCCTGGCAAGAAAAAGGGAGGCAAGTTGCACAGTTGCCTGGAAAAGCAGCAGTTTGGCAATTCTCTTAGGAGGTGATGGGCACTGCACCTGATGCAGGCAACAGCCCTAAATGCTTTCAATTCTACTCAAATTAAGTAGGGAATATCCCTTACTGCAGATGCAGTCATTCTTTAATTCTCTGCAGAGAACTTCGTTGATACCAAGCCAGTTCCCCTGCAGGTCAAGTAGGAGCTTGAGTACACAAACTGACTGATGCATTTGGCTCATGAAGTTTGCTGAATGGAAATACAGAACTTCAGACTGCAAAATCCTGTCAGTAGATTGAGCCTGGTTTTACAATTCATGTTCTGCCCCCTCAGTTTTTTCTCTCAGCCACAGGCCAGGGGATGCTGCTTGTCCATCCTGCATGGCTGCATTTCCCAAGGTGCATCCCCTTGCATCTCATGGGTATCAGCCAGCTATAGATGTACTACTCATACATATGAGTGGTATTTTCATGTGGAAGATATTAATCAAACGTTCATGTTGGGCTGGTCACTGAGCATTTTAGAGCACGTATCTTGACATAACATCAGCAGCTCAGTGCTTACAGCAGATAAAACATTGGTCCTGCATCATTCTTGCTATCGCTTGGGTATAAATACATTGGTGCAATTAAGTTGAGGGGAAAGAACAGTCTTCTGAACTGCCTGTGACATACAGTTCTGGAATGAACTTCCAGCCACAGCATTTTCAAATCTATGTAATTGCTCAAATTACCCCAGCACGTCATGTAACGCCTTAAAGATTGGGTTCTTAAGGATGATCTTATAATGAGTGAATTAAATAGAACAATATATTGATTTTTAGGCTCTGAACTTAATTTCTTTGTCATTTTTAAGGCATTTAGAGTGACAGACACACTGATGTTTGCTGTTACAGCACTGACATTGTTCACAATGCTGTTTAGTGTACACTATGGAAATAAGTGAGCAGTTTGTGCTGAAAATGGCCATGGTTAGAGGATTTGGGGGGGGAATGGTGTTTAAATAAAATATTATATGCTTTAAAAGTAAGATTCTGGCTGCTCCTCAGTATCATCTGTCCTATAATCATTTTCATGCATTTTCTGCAGTGCCAAGGAGCTCCAGACACCCATGTGCTTGTCATAAAACAAGTACAGTCATACGATGTCAGGTCTTGTTCCTTCTCTTACTGAGTGAAAGTGATATTTATAACTGTTTGTGATATTTATAACTGTTTGGGCACGTTTGAACAGGGGGTTACAGGTACTGTGACGTAGTCACTTAATAGCTAGGAAAAACAAATCATTTGTTAAAACTGACTATTTAAAATAGAGCATGAAATAAGTCTGGGAAAATAATCCAGTGAAAATATTTGTTTTACACGTGAGGTGAATTGTCTTCAACAGGCATTCCCTAAATACTTCTTTTGGACACCTAGTTGGGCTTTGATGTCCAGCCGGGTCATCCTGAGGTTTTGGCTTTTTCATTTCAGGGAAAAGATGTCCCTACACCTGGGGGAACTCAGGGAACTGATAGAGAGCAGGGCACACAATACAGCCTTGTTCCTGCTATCTGTCCTCTCTGCCGCAGTGTCAGCAGCTCATCTGCACGGCACAGGCACAACTGCAGCTCATGAACACATCTGAAACTTCTCTGGATAATAACACACATCTGAAGGCTTTGTGCCCTAGCCCCCGGCCTTCATTTAGTTTGCAAGTGTCATTAGAGCAAGAGCAATTTGAACACATAAAATGTTAAAAGTGTGAATTGGTGTGAGAGGACAATGTGTCTATTTACCACTGCCAGCCCTTGGAATGCCCATGAGTAATTTATACCATTGTGTTCTGTGGAGCATTGTTCTGTTATTCAGTCCTTCTGGTTTTCACACTCCAGCAATAGCCTTCTTTCTCCTGATGCTCCTGCTCTCCTGCTCTGATCTGTTTACTTGGCAACAGCATGAAAAATGTATTTGCACTGTAGTAAGAGACATACACTTCAGAGAAAAGTTTTAATGGGGAGGGCAGATCTTTTCCTGTGCTAGACTTATGCTGGACAGACAGTATCTTTAAGGTGGAGCAGGAAGGAGATGGTAAGGTTTGTTTTCATAGCCACTTTGTAAGTATGCATTGTGGCTACACATCTACTCCAAATGCTTAAATATAGGATCACAGCTTAGAAGCACTCAAGGTAAAGCATTTTTTCCTGAAGTATGTTGAGATTGCTACATAAGGATAGTGTCTGTTCTACCCCAACAGTTTTAGGATTGGGCGTATTATTAGATACATACCATAAGTTTCCACACAGATGTTTATAAATGATTATCCAAAAATCTGGAATACTGGGGCTTTTGGTCAGATGTCAAAACATGCACAAATTGGCTGCAGTTATTTGTATTTTTGAATCTCTCCCTGTGCATCGTCACCACATGTGGTGTGAGATGCACTAGAACAGGAAAGGCTGCCCATTACTTGGCATCCTGGTGTAAAAGTGCATGCGTGTAGCAACACAGCAGCTAGAAACTGGAGGCCTGGGAGAGGAGCTCCTGGGCAGTGCAGGTGCTCAGGTAGCTGCTTTTCACACAGATAATTAATGTGTACAAGTAGCTGCTAATTGCACATATCAGGAATGATTTATGAGGTGGCAGAGGGGAAAGAGGGACACGATCCAATTTCTTTGGGAACCTCTGCCATTCATACAATGGTATCAGCACAGCTGTGAGATGGGACATGATTAATGAACAGTGGGCAAACACACCGCCGTCCTGCGGGATGCTGCTTGCATGATGCCTGTCAAAATGGAAAGTGTCACTGAGAGCAGCGACCAGCAGCAAACAGTGCAGAGCGTGAGCTTTGTGTCTTGTATCTCACTAATTCACTCGGATGTCAGACCTAACACCAGCGTGCCTCTGAAGTAAGGTCGTTTATGTCCATCAGAACAATTACTGGTGTAATGCGAACGATTATCATTGACTTGTTATGACCAGGTTTGTGTTTATGCACAAACAATTGCAGGTATTTATTTTCTCTGTAAAGGGCCGGGGGAAAACAAATTAGGCAGTGACTGTTGTTTATACAGGACATTAAATCTAGACTTACGAATATCTCTCTTAAATATCTGCCTCTAGTCCTCTGTCTTGACTGCTGCCTGGGAACACGTTTTGCCCACTGTCATGTACCACTCTTTCTGCTATCTGACATGCACCGCCCAAAATAGGTGTGCATAACCACTGCTTGTCTTTGCTTAGCAAGAGTGTTGTGCACATCCCTGTGTTTATTGTACCTTCTTATCTGAGCCAAAGATAATATGAAGTAATATGATACTTTGTGCTGGCATTTCTGGGGGCTGATTAGCATATCAGTTTGCTGTGCTTCTGTAATGCTGCTCTGCTTTATCTTTGAAAAGATTGCTAATAAAATTCAAAAGTTCACCCCTCTTGAAATAGTAAGTGCACATATAGGTCACTGCTGTGGAGAACCGGCGTTCCGTGTTTCACTGGGGAGGAAAGGAACATTCTGGTCACTTTTCTCAACAAACTGTTTAAGTATCAAAATACCACTGTTTTGCACTATGGTTTTGGAACTGTTATATGAGGGATACACCTCAAGCTGTGTAACCAAAGTCTCTGTTTGTTTGCTTTTATATAATGTAGTATTTTTAGACTGCTTCAGTTCAACATTAAGGAGTGAATACATTTATTTCTATCTCTTACAGCTTTTAGAGTTTGACAGAGAGCTGTCAGTCTTTAAAGACAGATTGTATGAACTGGACATCTCATTTCCTCCCAGGTAAGATTCATTTATAATCCATTTCTTTAACTAGCTGAAACACAATTGTTGCTAGCGCTGTAGGTAAAGTGTGAGTGTTCCCATGCGCACTGTAGCAATGATAGTGCTCTTCATTCTTTTCATAAACATTTGGCCTTCCCACACCCCCCCATCGCGGTGCAGTCGCGTGCCGACGGTGCGCTGCAGCTCCTCATTCAGGTGATCCTGTCCTTTAGAGCTGCTTATATATCGGGCATGATGTGATTGTGTGCTGAGAGATGTGCAGCTGCTTTGAAGCACTGGACCCAGATAACCTGTTAGTGAGTTTTAGTGCAGCCATAAAGGCAGTCATAACCTTAAGTTGTTGAAAAGTGACTGACAGCAGTGGTGCTCTCTGGGAAAAGATCGGGGAGGGGGGAGATCCCAGTGCTGTTCCTCAAGATGGTCCAAGAGGAGTATTAGGAAAGAGGATGGGAACTTGGATGCTGCTTTTCAGTTTCAGTAAGCATGGTATGTAACTGTTAATTTGACCTTTTAGTACACATGCATGATTTTAATCAGCTGTATCCCTTCCATGAGTTTTAGCATAAGTAGATAAGCATTGCTGACATACAAACCCAAGGCTTTTGCGAATGCTGGTCCTGGTTGGAAGAAATCTATGGAAAATTTGGTAGTGTTCAACATGTATGGCCTCTTTCCCAGAATGAAAAAGTCAAACCTCACATTTGCTCTCAAGGGAAGGAAATACTGCAATTGCAAAGAAGTTCAAAGTCGCAGAAATCATAGATAAAACCATACATCTTATATACTTTTTTACTTAAATATTGCTGTTTTGTTCTTTATGGATGGGTAGAAATGTTTGATGTTTTGGCGTGCACTAAGAAAAAATTTGGGAAGCTTGCCTTTTCATTATCATAATCTCATTATTTCTCAGCAGCCAGCTGCGATACTGATTATATTGATCCCTTGGGACAATGGAAGTATGCATGGAGAGGTTACCGCTGCTTGGAATTGTTCCTATAGATTGAGTTCAGTAGCAGAGGTCCAGCAGTCTGTATGGCTCTGAGTGTACCTGGTCAGGGTAAAAGGAGGTGAGGGGAAATAGATAGGAGGTTTTTACCAGAAATACTCTTCTACTTGGTCTCACCAACTTTAGTGCTTTCAGCCAGAATGAGGTTTGGCAAAACCACATTGCTGCATGGATGGGTTGCAGGTGCTCCAGTCGTTTTTGGCAATACAGTTTGGCGTCATTCGGCTCTCAGGCAAAGATCAGGTGCAAGTAGTGTTTGTATCAAACCTTTACTTCTGATCTGTCTGAAATGATGTGAACGTCTGGTCAAGGTATAAACGCTTGAAAAACTGATTTTCACTGATACGTCCAAACCTCAGTAGAGATTTCTGTTACCATTTTAGTGGCTGAGTTTGTTGCAAATTGCAGCTACAGTGGGTACAACCCAGGATTTCTTCACAGCTACCAAGAGCCGTGCCCTGTGAGTCTGGAGGCAAATAATAAGTGAGATTTCTTCTCCTTTACATCCTGTTGGAGCAAGTAGCGATGAGGGACCTCCACAAACGAAATAGAGGTGGAACAAAAGCTGGAACTTTTGTACAGGAGCCACCCAGTAGCTGCTGATGTTGCAGTAAAACCAGCAGCGAGCTTTAGGGGGATAGATGGGGAGGACCATATGAACAGGAGGAAAAGGAGGTAAATTAAATATTAGTCAACTGCATTGGTGCACTCTGCTGCCTCAGTATCTGAATACTTTGGCGCAGAGCATTAACATCCAGGTGATGTATTTCAGTACATTTAAGCTACTGTATGCCATATAGGTCTGTTGTTGTCTAGAACACAAATATTAAATGAAGTGCTGCACAGTAGATGAACCCCTGGTAAAAACACAAGACCAGATGAAAATGTTCCATTCCAGGAATCCTGATGGATGAAACGCAGATTTTGACTTTTTCTAATTGATGTAATGAATGAAATTAAATATTACCCTATAATAAGAGCTAGGTATCATCTCCCCTCCCCTGCCTACATGCCTGCAGACTTGGCTAGGAAACCACAGGAGCAGCTTTCTGAGGCCATAGTGCTGTCATCAAAGAGGGCAGTCACCAACTTCTGGTGGCAACTTATCCCCTTCTGTCTCAATTTTATTACTTGTTTTTGTTTGCTTGCAAAACTGAAGCCAAATCTAGCTTATATCCTTGTTTTGTCTTGTACACACCTCCAATATTAAAGATTAAATATTACATTAAGTACAGCTTTGGCTTGCAGAGTTAAAGTCAAGGCAACTGAGCCCTAGCTGTCATTGACCAGCATTACAGGATGCGATGGACTCAGGTCCTGCATTCAGTCTCCTCGCTCCCCCAAAGCCAGGGGCCATCACACACCCACTCTCAGCGTGATGCCTGCTGTGGCCATGTGCGGATTGCTCTGCAGGAGCAGCACCCTGTCTCCAGACCTGAGATATCCCTACCTCAGAGCAGCTGAGATAGCTGCTAATAATCCTGCCCAGGGAAGCAGCCAGCAGTCACATTACTCTTGCTGCTGTTGTCTTCCAAATAAGATGAAAACCCAAGATGCTGACCACTTCTTGCCATCAAAGATCCCATAACTTTTTTGCAAGGGCATAAAAGTCAAGACAGATGTTCTGGCCAAAGTCCTAGTAATTGGATTCCACCTCTCCAAATGCACTGATACTTTAGCTGATTTTGGTGGTATTCTTCACTTCCTGCCCCAAACCGCTGCACAGCATGCTGGTGCCATGCTGGTTGCCGCTGCTCTGCAGCACTGAGGGATGCTGAACTCAGCAGTTGTCTGCAGACCACAGCTCCTGAGCTTGCTCAGATGCTTGCAGGAAAAGATCTGTACTGCTGAGGTAGAAGCAGACACTCTTGAGCAGGGTTCCTGTCTAAATAGAATCATGGAATCACAGAGTGGTTTGTGTTGGAAGGAATCATAATGCTCATCCAGTTCCAAACCCCTTCTTACAATTAAGTAATAGTAATAAGAAGAAATGGTAGTGATTTTTTTTATATACCAAAACCTGACACCTCCTTCATGGCATGGAGGGGATGCTAACGTTGAGTTTATGCAACACAGACTTCCTTTGAACTGAACCAGAGAATATGGATAAAATATGAGACTATTGCTACAAATACAAGATGTAAAACCAATGAGCTAAATTCGTGCACATACGAAGAGCAAACTGGCTGTACATCAGGGTGCTTTTTTTCACCCATCCATCCTCATGTTTGGGACCATTTGGCACAGGAACCCTGCTGTCTGTTCCCTAGTCCTTGCACAGGCACCAGGCTCAGTAAGAGTCTTGCCTAAGCAAAGTGCTGCAGGCCTGGGCTCATGGTGGTTATAGTTACTGCAGGTCAGTGTCCTGGTTTTGTTCACAAAGCTGAGTACATTGATTTCACTGGAAGATACAACATGGGGATTTTTCTGTATTACAGTCATGACCACAATGTGCTATTAACTGCAAAACCAGGTATTTTGAACGGGCAAAAGACTGGTTTTAATGTAGGACATTTTCCTTTTAACTTAGAACCTGTTCACTCATGCAAGAAAGGAATTAAATGTACAACTTAAATGTCTTTGTTTCACTTCCTAATAGTTTTTGCCCATTTCCCCCTCATTTTTATGGCCGTCCGGGAAAAAAGAAAAAAAATCTATGTCTTACCATGTCTTAGTTGCCTTTATGTACTGTTTGTGAGTACGAGCATGATATATATTAGTCGTGTACCTAATCACACCAGATTGTGTATTTTTAACCAGAGGAGGCTATGATCAGTCCTGCATATTTAGAAACTACTTGTTTAAGCTTCTTGGTATTCTTAGCTGAAAAGCACATGGTGCATCCGTTTGTTCTGCACATGCAGCAAACAAAGCCTTTTTCACGGGGGGGGAGAGGCCGAGAAAGCTCCAGTGCTTTTTGTGTCAGGCTTATGGGCTTAATTAGTGAGCATTTTGAGGGCAGTTGTAAGCAATTGTAATGGTAGCCTTGAAGTAGCTTTTCAGAATTTGTTTTATACATGATATTTTAATTATGGTCCACGGATTCAGTCTGTGAATTGCTCTCTACTTCTGTTCTTAATCCATGATGTTATGGTCTCACACCATGGGATGCTGGCCAACAGTGGAAGACAGAGTATCTCGGCTAAAATGGTACTGAATACATCTAGTACTACATTTCACATCTCTCAAAAATGAATGAGCAGTTAGGACCATTTTCTTTTTCTTTCATTTACTTCATCATTTGTGCATACAGTGAATTGCCTGTTTTGCACACGGAGCTCTACACATCAATAGCATGCTTGCATTCCTGTCTTAATTGTAAATTTTTTCCTCTGAAAGCATGCTTGATATTCAGTGTGCTCTTGAGATAAATAGAAAAGGTCACAGTCCTTTAAGCTGCAGCAGACTGAGTTTCTTGTAAGTTCATTTTTTATCAGCATAAATTGTTTATTCTCTGGACTTTATCACAAGATTGTACCAACACACTGCCATAGCTGTCCTGGCGTTGAAAGCTTCATTCCTTTGAGTCAGTGGTGCTTTTGTGGTTAACTTTAGTGGGGCCAGAATTAGACCCTGAGCAGTTTTGGTTTGTTTCCATGCCACTCCTAAGGCAGCGTTGCACCATGATCCAGACACCTCAGGTATGAATATGCATAGATAGAAACACACTGCCCTGTTACTAGCCCATGGCTTAGCTTGCTTCCCTGTGTGATGCCATATGCAGCATGGGATCCCCCAGTGCTGGCTAAGGACTCAACTTGTTCACTCTTGGACAACCAACTCCAGTTCTTCATAAGAGGGCCTTGGTTCAAAGAAAAACCACTGGTTTTGTAGCATAAACATGAGCAAAGTCCCAGTTAAAATAAGAAGTAAGAAACCAGTCTGTTCTCATGGCACCAGGTGTTACAGTGAATGCATGAGAGACAAAGCCTTCCTTCGAGAGGAAACCCTGGAGCTGAGCTAGCTCTGGTCAAAGTGGTCATCAAGAACT